GTCTTAAAAGTTTGTAACAGTTATAAGGATCGAGGGCTGGTGTGGTTCAAAATCCAGCTCTCGCCTTAGCGCCGCGCAGATGCGTCTTCGTGTTCGTCGTCGCATCGCTGTCGTAGTCGCAATCGCACACGTACTCGTTATCGTCTTCGTCTTCGTCTTCGTCGTCGGACCGCCCGAACTATAATTATTTTCCGCTATTGTCGGGCGGGGTCGTTTTTCCGAGTTGTCAATAAATTCGCCCGAATTATATTTATTTTCCATCTATTGGCCAGGGGATTTCTAAAGACTTCCCAAGGTTAGGGGCGGATGCATCCGCTCTAGGTATAGGTATAGGCATGGGGCACCGATCTAGCGGTGATGCCCTTCCTGCGCCAGTCCACCCCCTATCTTTGCCCCTCACTTCCACGGGCAACACTGACAGAGGAACGTCACATGCACTGGGCTCGAAACGCAGGACACAAGGGCACCCCTGATCTGGCAGCGCCGACCTACAGTCGGGGCCCTGAAGAAGGAACCCTTTTCGTTTGGGAGGGGCTCCGCGTTCCTTAAGTGTTTCGTAGCTTGCCTCAGGTTTTCCTTATGTTTTCGATCGGAAATCGAAGTTTAGCTTATGGAAAAGAGGGGCCTCGTTCCTTGTTTTGGGTTCCTTAGGTCAAGGCCCCGACTGTACGAATCAAACTCGGCTGTGTGATTTCTTCCTTGCTCGCTCTGGGCCAGGCGCAGAGAGGGGAGGGGTAAAGGGGAAAAGGCTTCTTAGAAGCACCCCTGTTTCTCAGAAGGCGCGGGCCTCGCCTGTAGATGTAGGACCGGCGCCTTCTAAGAAGCCGCCTCCCTCTGAGAGGCCTTCCCCCTTCCCCCATGTAACCCCCCCGTGCGCGCCGCCAGGTACGACGTCTTGCTAGCTTGCTTGGGCCAGGGGCGGAGGCGGAGGCGGAGGCGGAGGAGGAGGAGGCGGAGGAGGAGCAGGAGGAGGAGGAGGCGGAGGAGGAGGAGGAGGAGGAGGAGGAGGACCAGGAGGATGAGCACAGGCACAGCCGCGGAGCCAAAGTTTGCCTGGTTGCTTTGGGCCAGGGGCACCTCTGGCAGCACCCCGCCCCCTGGGGCCCACCGCCCCCCGCGCCCGGGGTGCCGCCTTCCGCGCTGCTGGCCGCGCGGGCGCTTCCTCTCGCCGCCGCCGCCGCGCCGTCCCCCCTCGTCCTTCCTCTTCTTCTTATTATTACTATTATTATTGATATTATTAGTAGTATTAGTCTTCTTATTATCGTTAACATTGAAACATATGTGTATTGCTATTCGTATTATTCGTATTCTTATTTGTCTTATCATTATTCTTAGTATTCATATTATTGTTCCTCTTCTTATTATCCTCCTCCTCCTTCGTCTCCTTTTTGTTATTGTTATTATTATACTTCTTCTTATTCATGCTAGTATTAGTCTTCTTACTCGCATTATTCGTAGTATTATTCTGCTTATTATTATTATTATTCTTCTTCTCCTCCTCCTCCTTCTCCTCTTTTGCCTCCTCCTGCTTCTCCTTCCCCGCCTCCTCCCTCCTCCTCCTCCTCCTTCCCCTCCTCCCTCCTCCTCCTCCTCCTCCTTTTCCTCCTTGACCTCTTCTTCCCTCCTCTTCTTCCTCCTCTCCCTTTTCTACCTCCTCCTCCTCCTCCGCCTCCTCTTTTCCTTCATCCTCCTCCTCCCTTTCCTCTTCCCTCCTCCTCCTCGTCCTCCTCCTCCCTCCTCCTCCCTCCCTTCCTCCTCCTCCTCCTCTTCCACCTTCATTCCTTTTCCTTATATATATACACCTATACGACCACCCTGCGGGTGATAAGGAGGTGAGGGGGGAGTGTGAACCAACGTCTCATTCAATCGATCTCGCTATCGATCTCACAATCGATCTCACATTCGATCTCACTATCGATATCACTATCGATCTCGCTATCGATCTCACTATCGATCTCACAATCGATCTCACAATCGATCTCACATTCGGTCTCACATTTGGTCTCACTGTCGATCTCACTATCGATCTTACTATCGATATCACTATGGACATCACCATCAACATCATAATCATCATCATCATCATCGTCATCATCATCAGCATCAGCATCATCATCATCATCATCATCATCATCAACGTCGTCATCATCATCACAATCATCACCATCATGGCCATCATCACCATCATCACCATCAGCATCGCACAATCGATCTGATTAACGATCTCACAGTCGAACTCCGAATCGATCTCACAATCGACGCCATCATCATCGTCATCATCATCATCGTCATCATCATCGTCATCATCATCATCACCATCATCACCATCATCACCATCATTACCATCATCACCATCATCACCATCATCATCTCACAATCGATCTGACTATCGATCTCACAATCGATCTCACTATCGATCTCACAATCGATCTTACATTCGGTCTCACTATCGATGTCACAATCGATCTCACAATCGACGTCATCATCATCATCATCATCATCATCAACAACACCAACATCATCATCATCGCCATCATCATCATCATCATCATCATCATCATCACCATCATCACCATCACCATCATCATCATCACCATCATCATCATCATCATCATCATCATCATCATCAGAATCATCCACATCATCATCGGGACACCGACGGGACACCGACGGGACACCAGCGGGACACCTGCGGGACACCGCGCGCCACCGGCCGCCCGGAAGAGACACATTTGGTCCGGCCGCGCCTCAGCCACAGGGACACCGACGGGACACCAGCGGGACACCGGCGGGACACCGGCGGGACACCGCGCGCCACCGGCCGCCCGGAAGAGACACATTTGGTCCGGCCGCGCCTCAGCCACAGGGACACCGACGGGACACCAGCGGGACACCGGCGGGACACCGCGCGCCACCGGCCGCCCGGAAGAGACACATTTGGTCCGGCCGCGCCTCAGCCACAGAAGACTTTCCTCTCGCCCGCCCACGCAGCTTCGCCTCGCCCGCGCGCACGGCACGCACGAACACGAAACCGAAATCGATTTCCCGGTAGGGGGGCTCTCCGTTCCACTTCGATCTCACCCCCTCACCTCCGATAACTTCTCCCTGTCGCGCACATTCGGTTCAAACATGTGGAAGAGTTTCGCGGATTGAGGTCGGGTGGTTTTCGAAATTCGGCCCTCGCCTCAGCGCCGCGCACATCCGCTTTAAACTGTTGCGAGAGTTGCACGGGTTGGGGGCGGGTGGTTTTCAAAATGTGGTTTTCGCCCTGGCGCCGCGCACATCCGTTTTAAACCGTTGCGAGAGTTTCACGGATTTGAGGGCGGTTCGTTTTCAGCATGTGGTTCTCGCCTTTTGAGAACTTCACGACCACCGCGGCATAGCAGGCATGGCATACGGGGTGTTAGGATTACCAGTTCGCTCCCAGATCAGGGGAGCTCTCCTGCGAAACGCTGGTGTGGGCCCCCCGGCCCCCCTACCTTCCGAGTCCCAAGATCATGGTTATGTCGCAGGCATCGCATTTGGGCGCTTCTGCGGGGAGCCGCACGAGATCTCTTCACTCATGCACTCACAGACGGGAGAGCCAGGAACCGAGATGCACACGTGAGCGACGCAGGAAAACGGGTTCGATTGCGCCGACAGTGGCGCGTAAGCTGCCCGCGTAAGGTCGCGCGGAAGCGCCCTCGTCTCCAATGTAGCGTGCCGCGGAAGCGCCCTCGTCTCCAATGTAGCGTGCCGCGCTGACGGGCCGCGGTAGCTGCGGCGGAAGGTCGCTGGTGGCTCCAGGTCCAGACAAAGAGCCCGGGGGCCGCCTGGGGGGGCGTCGCAGAGCTTCGGGGTGGCGTTGCGATGGCGCCATGCTTGCTGTCGCTCGGGCTTCGCGACAACCAGCTCCGCGTCCTCTGCCATGATATCGCTCGGCTTGCTCGATGCGGAGCGCTTTTCGTCTCGGGGGTTCAGGGTTCAGGGCTTAGGAGTTCTTCTCTGAGCCCGCTCGGCGTCTGAGCCCGTTCGGCCTCCGAGTGGGCCGGCCGCGCGGGCTCAATTCCGACATGTTCGCAGGGAGTGAGCCCGTTCGGCCGCCGAAGGGGCGCGATCTCGAGTCCGCTCGGCGGCCGACCGCGCTCGGGCGCCGAAGGGGCTCGGAGGGGAACGCCCTGCGGCGTCGGACGACAGATGCCCGGTTGAAGACATCCAGGCCCCAGAGATCCTCCTCCTCCTCCCCCTCCTCCTCCTCCTCCTCCTCCTCCCCCTCCTCCTCCCCCTCCTCCTCTTCCTCCTCCGCCTCCTCCTCCCTTCCCGTCCGTCCCTCCCTTCCCGGCCGCAAGGGGGGGCCCGTGCGACGCCGAGTGGGCCCCAGAGGTCAGTGTTTCAGTACGGGGCTCCCGGAAGTGACGACCCGACTCTCGACCCGCTCCCGCGGAGACCGGATCTCTTCATTCTGAGTTCTGGCGGCCCCGAGGCCCGAAGCCCAGCAGGTGCCCCGACAGTCCGAGGATATCAGACAGCCTCTGTCCCGATGTTGTTCCATATGTTGGAGCGTCGTGTCTGCCGCGCCCGCCCTGCCTATTGCCTCCCTCCTCTCATCCTCGCCTGTCCCCTCTTCACGCATGCCGCGCGCTCGTTCCTCGTTCAGGCCACGGCTCGTTGCACGAGTTTGCTTGCTGCAGGTCGGCTCTTGTCGTGTTCCCGGTTTGCCTTGACGAACGAACAACACACACCCATACCCATAAGGGGGTCATTGGGAGGAGGACTGGCTATGGGTATGGGTGCGGGTTGTCGGACCCTAGGGAACGCTCGCGTTCGAGCGGGGACCCCCATCCGACAACACGTACCCATAGCCCTTTCCGACCCCCCTATGGGTACGGGTGTGTGTTGTTGGTTCGTTATTGCTTGGCGACCTCTTGATTCGCACAGCGGTCGGACAACATGTTGGAACGTTGGATCGTTGGGCGACGGCCCGCGCGGCCCGCCGCGCGCGCGCGCGCCCCGAGAGCGAGGCCGGCCCCCCCAGGGCCGCCCGCTGGCGGGGGCGGCGCCGTGCCGTGCGCGGCGCGGCATGGGCGCGGAGTGGCTTGCCGGCATGAAGGCCTCCGCTGCCTCGGCCGCCCCGGCCGCTGTGGCGAGGGCCCAGGGTCAGCCACGCGCAGAGGGGGGTGGGGGGGAGGGGGGAGGGCTTCTTGGAAGCACCCCTGCTTCTTAGAAGGCGCGGGCCTTCTCTGTAGATGTAAGGCCGGCGCCTTCTAAGAAGCAGCCTGCTTCTAAGAAGCCCTCCCCCCTCGCCCCACCCCCTTGTGCGCGCCGCCAACAGAGATCCGGCGTCTTTTCCTGGATTTCGGCCTCCGGGGTTCGTTTTTTCGGGCCCGGAGACCATCAAACATGGATCCGGAACGAAAAAATTCTTTACGCTTCGCGTATCCCCACCAGCCCATCTCACAACAGCAACTCTTGCGAAGCATGCCGACAGTCGTGTTTTTCAGGCTTGTGTCCGCTTGGCCCCGCATGTCTCCCCTGTTCCTCCTTCCTCCCGCCTCCTTGTACATCCTCCTTGTGGGGGGAGCGGGAGAAGGACGAGGCGGAGGAGGAGGGAGAGAAAGCGCTCCTCGTGGTTTGAGTCGTTTGGGGTTTCTCGTCCTGGTGTGAGTCGTTCGGGCCCTTCTTCCTGGTGTGAATCGTTCGGGCTCTTCGTGATGTGAGTCGTTCGGGCTCTTCGTCCTGGTGTGAGTCGTTCGGGCTTCTCGTGGTGTGAGTTGTTCGGGCCCCTCGTCGTCGTGTGAGTCGTTCGGGCCCCTCCTCCTGGTGTGACTCGTTCGGGCTCCTCGTGGTGTGAGTCGTTCGGGGCCCTCGTCGTGGTGTGAGTCGTTTTGGGAGCCTCTTGGAGGCCTTTTGGGGCGTCTTCGGGGCCTCTTGGCGGCCCCAGGGGCTTCTAGGAGCGTCTTGGGTGCCTTGGGGGAGCCTCTTCGGGCCTCTTGGGAGCCTCTTGGAGGCCGTTTGGGGCGTCTTGGGGGCCTCTTGGCGGCTCCAGGGGCTTCCAGGAGCGTCTTGGGTGCCTCGGGGGAGCCTCTTGGGGCCTCTTGGGCGCCTCTTGGGGGCATCTTGGGGGCCTCTTGGAGGCCTCTTGGGGCCTCTTGGGACTCTCTGGGAGGGGTCTGGGAGGAATCTTGGGGCCATCTGTCGGGCGATCGATCACAGATGGGGCGAGCACTTTTCTGCCTCCCCCCGTCGGGGCCAGAATCCTCGTGAGGGGTGTCGAATTTTAGCACTCCCAGGAGTCGAAAAAGACCCCTCCAACGACCCGCGGGGCGCCCTCTCCAGGCCCAGGGGGAGGGGGTAGGGGGAGGGGTAAACCCCTCCCCGAAGGGGAAGAAGGGGGGTTGAGAACAGAGCGGGCTCTCTAAACCACTCACGCCCAAAGGGCTGGTGGGATATCCCCGCGGGGAAGGGGTCGGGACCTCCGGGGCCGTTGTGGCGAGGACTCACCGAGCGCTTTCCACGACTCGAGAAGTGAATATTCCTGCAAACGTCAGAAACAAACATGTCTTCATCTATGTAGTGAGTCGTAAATGCCCCGCGACGGATCCAGGCCATTTGCAAGCAGTTATTTTGCGAGCAGTGAAACGCGCTTGTCCAAGGACGTTCAGCCGCCGCGGCCGTCGCCACTGTCGTCCTCGTCGTCGTCGTCGTCGCCGCGCTCCACCGCCGTCACTGCCAGCCCTCCCGGATAGCCGTCGTTGCGGAAGAAGTGCGGCATCGCGGAAAGCAGCGGTTGGGCGGATCGATTTGTGAGGGTCCGAGAGTCCAAAACCGGGCGAAAGCGCTCTGGGCGCGAGAAAATTGCGACGACGATTTCTACGACAACGCCGTCTTCTACCACGACGACGACGACGACGACGACGACGACGACGACGACGACGACGACGACGACGACGACGACGACGACGACGACACTCCCCCTGACTTCGAATCCGCTGCATTTTAGCCGATTCTCCGGCCCGAAATTGTGTCGGAAATGCACTCCAGAGGATGCGAGATGGCAACCGCGCAGGGTCTTTAATGATAGGGGGCGCTCCCCGCCCCCCCAAGCTCTAGGCTGGGAGTAGAGTCGGGGCCCTGAAGAAGGAACCCTTTTCGTTGGGGAGGGGCTCCGCGTTCCTTAAGTGTTTCGCAGCTTGCCTCAGGTTTTTCTTTATGTTTTCGATCGGAAATCGAAGTTTAGCTTATGGCTAAAAGGGGCCTCGTTCCTTATTTTGGGTTCCTGAGGTCAAGGCCCCGACTGTAGTCGTCCCTCCCTTCCTCGCCTCTCCCCCTCCTCGCCCTCCTCCTCGCCCCCCCCCCTCCCGGCCCTCCTCCTCGTGCTCCCCCTCCTCGTCCTTGCCCTCCTCGCCCTCCTCGCTCTCCCTCCTCGCCCCTTCCCCTCGCCCCCCTGCTCCCTGGGAATCCTCAGGGATCCCGAGAGGAGTCCGAAGGGAATCCTGAGGATCCTTTTGGGGATCCGCATGACTCCTTGGGAACCCTACGAGTCCAGCGGGATCCAGAGGGTGTCCTCGTCTAGGACTCCTAGGAATCCCTGGGAACCCCAGCAGTGGCCTCCGCGGGAGGGGAATGATTTTCCCAGTATTGTTTTCGGTTTCAATCCGCAAGCCCGTGCAAACAACACATAGTTTCCGGAATCCATTGGGGGTGATGAAATTGGGCGCTGCGTAAAGGGGGATCAGAAATGGGGGGCGGCGAGAGTGGTCCGAAAAGGTGCCCAAACGGTACCTAAACGAGCCCCTCTGGGGCTCCGGAGGGGCCCGAAAGGGGCACGAAAGGGGACCGTTTTTGACCCCCCCATTTATGACCCCCCCGTTAAGTCACGCCCAATGAAAGTTCCTGAGAGGTTAGGGCGGAGATTCGCGCCTCAGAACTGGACGACCAGCATGTGCGCAGAGGTATGGCGGAAACAGCGACGGCACAGTAGGGCGGACGTCGACATCAAAAGAATTTGGACAGCAGGGTGGAGTTTTCCGCCCCACTTGGGAAATCGCAAAAAAAACGGCGGATCCGAAATCAGGGTTGTTTTTCGATCTGAAGTGAAGTTTGAGTTGCTTTATGGGACGCTCTACAGCCTCAGGTTGCTCTCCAGTAGCTGCGTCTCGCCGAGAGCTTTCTGGGGGTGCCCGGATCATCCACAAGGCCGGCAGAGACCCGAGCTCTGACTCGAAAGTCATCAGGTCGTGCGAGAGGCCTTCGCTACCGGCCGCCGCTGCTGCTGCTGCTCGAAGAATAGTAAGAATACGAACAATAATCCGCGGGGCCGTGGAACAAACTGCCCAAGATGAGCAGCCGGCCCTGGGGAGCGGGTTGGGACCTCCAGGGGCCCTGCATGGAAAAAGCCAAGGCGTCGGACGTCTGGTGTCGTGGTCGTCGATGCCGTGATGGTCGTGGCGGTAGTCACTACCGCTACGACGACCACGGCGACGATTACTACTTCGTTGCCCTCGTCGTCGCCGTCCTGGTCGTCATGATCGTCATGGTCATGGATAGTTTGTCGCTCTCCATGGTGCCGGTTCATAGGCAGCTCTGCCGGGACCCGGGCGTTGCTATAGCGTTTTGTGCCTTCACGCCGCCGCCTACAAAACATGCGGCCGTTGGGCAGCGCCTCCTCCTCCTCCTCCTCCTCGCTCTTCCTCCTCCCTCTTCCTCCTCCCTCTTCCTCCTGCTCCTCCTCCTCCTACTCCTCCTCTTCTATCGCCGATTCCAGCTCGATGGGGGGGGGGCATAGGCTCAGGGGGCAGAGGCACCCGCCCCCGATCTCCCACGGATCGCCGAGAGCCCAACCCGCCCAGGAAGGTGGGGAGTCGCTGTCGGGGGGCCTCTCGCCGATCCATCGGCGATGCGTCGCCGGGCGTCGCCGATTCCAGCTCGATGTCCCCCTCCCCTGAGCTGGTCCCCCCCTTGCACTCGAAGAAGACGACACGCCATGGACAGAAATTTTTGGCGCTCCGCGCGGATCTTTTGGATCTGCGCTGGGCCCCCCCGGCGGCGCCTCCGACGCCGCCCCTGGCGCGCTCCGTGCGCCAGGATCCAGCGCAGATCCAAGAAGTCTGCGCGGAGCGCCAAAAGTTGATGATGGGTTTGTTCTTCTCCTATTTATGTCCCCCCCCCTGAGCCGGTCCCCCCTGTGCGCCGGATGTTGAACGTGGGTATCTCTGGATTCCCAGATCACAATATAGTTTAAGTGCAATCTTGCTTCAATGATCGAGTTGCTTCCCCTCTTCCCTCCTCTTTCGGGGGCGGGCGGAAGCCTTTCCCCTCCTCCCTCCTCTTCAGGGGGCGGGCGGAAGCCCAGTCCACTTCAGCTCCTTCTTCGACCCATTTCTTCCGACTGACGGTTATCGCTGCGCCTCATCAAAGGAGGGCAAGCAGTGTTAGTGAGTTTTTCTGCGTACCATCTGGGCTCTCCCAGTAGGTGCTGGCTGCTGGTCGGGCTGCCCCAGGCTGCAGTTTTGGTCGGTCTGTGGCCCAGTAGCTGCACCGCAAGCAAAACGCCGAAGCGCATCTATCTCATATCTTTGGTGATTCGCGTGTAGACACGAGAGGAAGAGAGGACCTTTCCTTATCAGCGAATTGCCGACTCGTGATCAACACAGTGCAAATTCCTTGCAGGGTATTGCGCCCTAGCCTGCATGTCAACCATTCGGTGTCGGCAGCATAGTCCAAGTGTGCATTTATCCCATTGCGTTTGTCTTGTCTATTCCGAATCATGGCTCGAGTGTAGAGTGCGGTCGCGTAAGTACTTGTACCTTGTTTGTCAAGTGGGAACGGCTGGCCAGTGCATCAGGTACGGCCTGCCCATGATGTACCTGATGGTGTGATGCATGCCATCTTGTTTGTTGTGTGTTCGTCGCTTACCCGTTGGGCTTGAAGCGTTCTAGGAACAAGGTTTTGCTAGACAGTCGAGTGGGCAGTCGCTTCCAGAAACATTGTAGTTATTACGTTTCGTCCGCCGCGTGGCATCTATCGAAGACGCCTACAGCGAATCACCGCCGCCCCCTGCCCTTGTGGAAGCGCCATGTGGCCGACAGCTGGGCTAGAGCTTGGCCATGTTATCGGGCCAGTTGTTCCCCTAGTCGGGTTGGAAAGCCTTCGGGGAACGCGCGGGGGAACAAGAGGTTTGAAGTCGCTTATGTGTCCGAGCGTTGTGGCAAGAGATCTGCCAAGCTATCGGACCATGTGCTCCCCAGCCGTTGTGGAAACCCTTCGGGGAACACTTGGGGGAGGATGGCGAGGAAGATCAGGAGGAGGAGGAGGAGAAGGAGGAGGAGGAGCAGAAGGAGGAGAAGGAGAGGAGAGGAGGATGAGGAGGAGCAGGAGGAGGTGGAGGTGGAGGAGGAGGAGGAAGAAGAAGTGGAGGAGGAGGAGGAGGAAGAGGAGGAGGAGGAGGAGGAGGAGGAATACTAATCAGAAGAGGAGGAGGAGGAGGAGGAGGACGACGAGGAGGAGGACAAGGAGGGGACATCTTGAGAGCCGCTGGGGGCACTCTTGGGGCCTCCTCTTGGAGACATCTTGGGGGCCTCCTTGGGCCTACTGGGGGCCTTCGGGGGCTTCTGGCCTTTTTGGCCGTCTCAGGGTATTCCTGGCCCGTCCGATTCCGTCGGAAGCCGTCTTGGGAGCCTCTCTGGGCCGTCTTGAAACCTTCTTGGGGTGCTCCAGGGCCGTCTTTGGGTCCATCTTGGGCGTCTTGGAAGCCTCTTGGTTCGTCTAGGGGCCCTCTCGGGGCCGTCTTGGGGGCCTCTTGTGCTGCTCTGGGGCCATCTTGGAGGCCTCTTGGGCGATCTTTGGGGGCTCTTGGGCCGCCTCGGGCCGTCCGAAGGCCAAAAAGAAGCAAACGCCAACATCCTTCAACAACCTAATGACAAATCACTGGTTTGGGCATCTTCGGGCCTTCCTGGAAGCCGTCTAGGAGGCCTCTTCGGCCGTCTTGGAGGCCTCTTTTGGGCCGTCTTGAGCCATCTTATAGCCATCTTGGGCCGTCTTGGTGGGCTCCTGGCCCGTCTGACGCCGTCGGAAGCTTCCAGGGCCGTCTGGAGGCCATCTTGGGCGTCTTGGTGGCCCCTTGGGCCCTCCTGGGGCGGTCTTGGGGGCCTCTTGGGCCGTTCTGGGGCCATCTTGGAGGCTTCTTGGGCGCTCTTGGGACGATGTTGGGGGCCTCTTGGGCCGTCTTGGGCCGTCGGAGAGCTGATAAGAAGAAGATGCCAGCATCCTTCACAAACCTAGGGGAATCAATGAATTTTTCCTTTTTTCTGGCCTTTCTGGAGGCCCACTTGAAGGCTTCTTGGGCCGTCTTGGAGGCCTCTTGGGGGCCTCTGGGGCCGTCTTGGGCCATCTTGAGGCTATCTTAGACCGTCTTGGGTGCATCTTGGGCCGTCTTGGAGGTATCTTGGGGCCATCTTGGCCGTCTGGAAGGGCATCTTGGCTGTCTTGGAGGCTATCTTGTGCGGGCCATCGTCGCCGTCTTGGGGGATTTGTTGTCCGCAAATTCCGCGCCTTCTGGTCCCTTCCGGGTGGACGGCGGGCTGGGCCGGAGCCCCAGGGGAGAGTTCTTTTGGAACAAAACCAAAACAAAAATCGAAAGGATCCAGGTCGTTGGGCACCCCTGGCAAGCCAAAAGGGGGCGGCAGATCGAAGACGCCTACGGAGAGTCACCGCCGCCCCCTGCCCTTTCGGAAGCGCCTATGTGGCCGAACGTTGAGGCCAGAGCCCTGCCAAGCTATCAGACCATGTGTTCCCCGAATCGGTTTGGAAAGCCTAACACGTGGGGGAGGACGGGGAAGAGGAGGAGAGTGAGGAATGGGCGTGTTCGGGGCCCCTTCTCTTGTGACCATTTCGAGCTTTCCTAGAGGACGTCTTGGAGAGCTCTTGGGTCGTCTTGGAAGCCTCTTGCAGGCCTCTGGGGCAGTCTTAGGCCATCTTGAAGCCATCTGGGGCCGTCTTGTGTGCATCTTGGGGCCATGTTCGGTGTCTTGGATGCCGTCTTGGAGGCATCTTGGAGGCCATCTTGGCCGTCTTGGAGGCCATCTTCGGCGTCTTCGGGGCCATCTTGGGCCGTCTTGGGCTCTTCTTGGGGCCCTCTTGGGGGCCTCTTGGGCTATCATGGGGGGCCATCTTGGAGGCCTCTTGGGCGCTCTTGGGACGATGTTGGGGGCCTCTTGGGCCGTCTTGGGCCGTCGGAGAGCTGATAAGAAGAAAATGCAAACATCCTTCGCAAACATAAGGGACATCAGTGATTGTTGCCTTTTTTCGGGCCTTCCCGGAGGACGTCTTGGAGGCCTTTTGGGGACCTCTTGGTCAGTCTTGTGGAGGCTTCTGGGACGAACCTGAAGGCATCTTGGACCCTCTCGGGCCGTCTTGCAAGCCATCTTGGACCATTTTGGCAAATATTGGAGGCCATCTTGGGCCAACGTGACCATTTTAGAGGCCATCTTGAGCCGTCTTGGAGGATTGTTGTGCTCGTTGAAGTGGTTTGGGGGCTTTTCCCGGACCCTGGCGGGCTCGGCCGATGGCCCCGGCGAGGCTGCCAGGCGGCCCGCGCGAGCTGGGCCACCTGGAGAGCAGGCGCGTGGCCGAGAAGCGCCGGTGCGCGCTGCGTCGCGAGGTCGGGGCCTTTCGAGCGCGGTGCTAGGGGCACCGCGAGAGCGCGAGCTCCAGGGCGGCGCTCGACGACGCGCTCGCGGAGTACCTGGACTCCCTCTATTTCGACGGCTACATCCACGAGAGGGGCGACGCGTCCCTGTCAGGGCCGGCTTCGAGGAGCCGAAGTTCAGGCGCGGCGGGGAGGGGGGCTTGGCGCGAGCCCGATCGGCCCTCCAGGGCTTCCGCCGCCTGGCACGTGGGCAGATGAGGTTGCCGCTGACGCGGCCGGAGTTTGCCGCGCTGCCGGGCGCTGGGGTCGCGGCGCTTGGGCGGGGCATCGAGGCCAGCCTGGCGATGGCGCGGGGCGGCGGGCCGCGGCTGCCGAGCGACATCACGGGCCTTCAGGGGCGGTCGCTCACCCCGCCCCCGCCGCGCGCAGGAGTCGGCAACTGGGCCTGCCCCCGCGCCCGGCCGAGGCGGAGGCGACGAGCAAGTCCAGCCGCGAGGGCGAGGGGCTTGCGCCGGACGGCGCGCTCACGGAGGGGCTCGACGAGGAGCAGCTGCGGCGGCTGAGAGAGGGCGGCGGGCGAGACCGGCTGTCCGCGGCCGTTCGCCGCCGCGGGGTTCAGAGCAGAGTCCGCCATGATCGGGCGGCCGTCCTTGCGCCCATGCCAGGTGCGTCGCGGCGCGGCGAGCGACGACGCGCGGCGCCCCAGTGATCTGTGGGAGCCCCGTCCCTAGCTATGCTTGGCAGGAGCCCGTCATGCAGCGCCTGTCCCAGCGTCGGCGATGTCGCAATGCCGTGTTCGATGTGTGCCAATTCGGAACAGCTTGGAGAAAGCCCACTCGTGTGCGCCGTGGAGCTGTGTGCCTCCGCCCTCATCTCTGCGCGTGCGCTGCTCAAGCTCGCGCGGCATCTGCCCCCAGACCGGCCGACCTCACATCATTCCCTCTCCAAGGTCCAGGGCCGCACGGGGTGCGGTGGGGCCGCGTAGCAGAGACGCCCCGGCAAGCTGTGCAGCCAGATCGCCGGGTGGCTGCATCAGAGCGTAGAGAATATCAGAGCACAGTGAATTCGGAGATTAGTGGACTGTTGAAGCATGCGGCCCTCCAGGGCACAGACTGGGAACGGGCGGAGCTCGGCTCCGCAACCGCTTGCAAGCTGGAAACCGCTCGTCTGAACAAGCGAAAGCCTGGCCATGTGAAAAATGGACCCGGCATGTATAGCTCTGTGAAGGCTATTGCCTGCCCGATCGTCTTGGCCGCACGGCAAGGTTAGCATCGTGCCTCCGCCGCCGTGCCCTGCTCAAGCCTTTTACCTCCCTTTCCCCTCCTGCCACCCTTCCCCTGTCCACGTACCTGGTTGCACGCGCTGTTGTCTTCTGGCCAAGGGCGGAGCTTGGCTCCACAATCGCTTGTGAGCCGGAAGCCGCTCACCTGAACAAGCCAACGTCTGGCCATGCGAGAAAAGAACCAGCACTCCTCCTACACCTCCTCTTCCTCCTCCTCCTCCCCCCCTCTACCCTCCTCCTCCTCCTCTTTCTCCTCCTCCTCCTCCTCTTCCTCCTCTTCCTCCTCCTCCTCCCTCCACCCTCCTTCTCCTCCTCCTCGTCCTCGTCCTCCTCCTCCCTCCCTCGTCCTTTTTGTTTCTCCTCTTCCTCCTCCCTCCACCCTCCTTTTCCCCTCCTCCCCCTCCTCCTCCTTCTCCTCCTTCTCCTCCTCCCGCTGCCTCTTCGCCAGGTGGAGTATTTTAGCCCATCCTTCAACGAGTGGATCCCGTGCCGCGTCGCGCTCGTCCACCCTGGCGGTCCCCCGCCCTCTCGCGCCGCTCTGCGCCCTGCCTGTCTGGCACCCTGCCAGCGCCTTTTTCAGTTTCCTGGCATCGCTCGGACGTGTGCATGTTTTGCTCGGCGAGAATCATCGAGGAGCATCCTTGATCATTTGGCGGAAAAACCACGCACGAAACCGAACAAAACACAGGGAATGGACGTCCGAGCGATGGCCAGGTTTCTTTTGCAAGGCATTTCTACCCTTTGGTGGAGCTCAGTGGCGCTCGGTCCAGCAGCCGGTGTGGCAACCGGTTCGCATGGGTTGTTCAGAAGCCGCTATCGCGCCTCAGTTCCGCCTTTTTGATTTGGACTGCCACGACCCCGCTGTGACAAACACAGCACGGTGCACATGGCCGCGCTCTCACCCCTGCCACACGGCCACGATCCCTTCACGTCAAACTCGGGTACGGTGCACATGGCCGTGCTTTCACCCCTGCCACACGGCCGCGACCCCAATGTTTGCTCAATCGAAAACGCCACAATGTCGGGGGGTGGGGTCGCCCTGTGATCCTCGTTGTGCGCGCCGGCTCCTTTCAGAGGATCGCAGAGGAGGGAGGACGGGGGGAAGTGCAGACGAGGACGAGGGGAAAAAGGAGGCGGAGGCTGAGGTCGAGGAGGTCGAGGACGGAGGAGGGCGGGGAGAAGGAGGAGGAGAAGGCGGAGAAGGTGGAGGAGGGCGGAGGGAGGAGGAGGAGGAGGAGGAGGAGGAGGAGGAGGAAAAGGAGGAAAAGGAAGGCAGAGGAGGGCAGATGGGGTGGTGGACGAGGGGGGAGGAGGAGTGGAGGAGGGAAGACGAGGAGGTGGAGCAGGGATGATGAGGAGGAGGAGGAGGAGGAGGAGGAGGAGGAGGGAAGGAAGAGGAGCAGGAGGAAGAGGAGGAGGAGGAGCAGCAGGAGGAGGAGGAGGAGGAGGGAGGAGGAGGAAAAGGAGGAGGAGGGAGGAGGAGGAAAAGGAAGGTGGAGGGAGAAGGAGGAAGAGGAGGAAAAGGAGGACGAGGACGAGGATTGTCACGGCTGTCGTTTAAGGCACGGGTAATGTTTTACCGCTTCGTGCCCTAACAATGGTGGCACGCCATGTTCTGGATGCAACACGTTTGAAGATGCGGCTACTACCACGCCTATGCTGTGTAACACTCGCGCCAATGCCCTCCACTGCGCGGCCTATGACCGCCCATGGCCTACACGCGGGCCCTTTGCACGGTGGCTGGTAAGCCCCCCACCCCCATGCCTGACACTGCCACCTATCCGTTCCACTTGGATCTCTCCCCCTCACCTCCGATTTACATGGGGCATCCTCCAATGCGCGGGGACTGCGTGTCCCATAGCAGGGGCTGCGCGTCCCATTTGCCAGGACTGTGTGTCCCATAGCAGAGACTGCGCGTCCCAGTTGCCAGGACTGCGTGTCCCATAACAGGGACTGTGCGTCCCATTTGCCAGGGCTGCGTGTCCCATAACAGAAACTGTGCGTCCCAGTTGCCAGGACTGTGTGTCCCATAATCGAGACTGCGCGCCCCATTTGCCAGGAATGTGTGCCCCATAGCAGGGACTGCGCGTCCCATTCGCCAGGACTGCGTGTCCCATAACAGGGACTGTGCGTCCCATTTGCCAGGACTGTGTGTCCCATAATCGAGACTGCGCGTCCCAATTGCCAGGATGTGTGTCCCATAGCAGGGACTGCGCGTCCCATTTGCCAGGACTGCGTGTCCCATAACAGGGACTGTGCGTCCCATTTGCTAGGACTGTGTGTCTCATAATCGAGACTGCGCGTCCCATTTGCCAGGATTGTGTGTCTCATAGCAGAGACTGCGCGTCCCATTTGCCAGGACTGCGTGTCCCATAACAGGGACTGTGCGTCCCATTTGCCAGGGCTGCGTGTCACATAACAGAAACTGTGCGTCCCAGTTGCCAGGACTGTGTGTCCCATAATCGAGACTGCGCGCCCCATTTGCCAGGAATGTGTGCCCCATAGCAGGGACTGCGCGTCCCATTTGCCAGGACTGCGTGTCCCATAACAGGGACTGCGCGTCCCATTTGCCAGGACTGTGTGTCCCATAATCGAGACTGCGCGTCCCATTGCCAGGAATGTGTGTCCCATAGCAGGGACTGCGCGTCCCATTTGCCAGGACTGCGTGTCCCATAACAGGGACTGTGCGTCCCATTTGCCAGGACTGTGTGTCCCATAATCGAGACTGCGCGTCCCATTTGCCAGGAATGTGTGTCCCATAGCAGGGACTGCGCGTCCCATTTGCCAGGACTGCGTGTCCCATAACAGGGACTGTGCGTCCCATTTGCCAGGACTGTGTGTCCCATAATCGAGACTGCGCGTCCCATTGCCAGGAATGTGTGTCCCATAGCAGGGACTGCGCGTCCCATTTGCCAGGACTGCGTGTCCCATAACAGGGACTGCGCGTCCCATTTGCCAGGACTGTGTGTCCCATAATCGAGACTGCGCGTCCCATTTGCCAGGAATGTGTGCCCATAGCAGGGACTGTGTGTGTCCCAGGACTGTGTGTCCCACGTTTGCCAGGAATGTGTGTCCCATTGCAGAGACTGCGCGTCCCATTTGCCAGGACTGCGTGTCCCATAACAGGGACTGTGCGTCCCATGTGCCAGGACTGTGTGTCCCATAATCGAGACTGCGCGCCCCATTTGCCAGGAATGTATGTCCCATAGCAGGGACTGCGCGTCCCATCTGCCAGGACTGCGTGTCCCGTAACAGGGACTGCGCGGCTGGAATGCGGGTCGCATAGCATCATCGCAACCGCATCGCATTGTGCTTTGGTATCAATTATGGCTTGCGCACGAACAACATGGCAACTAGTGCGCCTACCTTACTACTCCCCTCTGTGTCAAATGGGAACTACTACTATGCCTTACCCCGACCGCTATTACTCGGATACTATGTAATCTACCTACGGATGCCTACCAGGCGAGACACGGCCCACGACTGTGAAGCTCGTTATATGGAGTGCGCCACCGTCCTCCTTTTGGAGGGGGGCCGCTCCACGACTGTGAAGCCCGCTTAACTATCCTACTCTCATCCTCCCTCAACAGGAGGGCCGCCCCACGACTGTGAAGCCTTATTATCGCCAAACTCTTACCTTTGCCCTTCGCTGTCGCTTGTCCCCCCACCACTAAGTGGCAATTCGTCCCTTCCCCCCAGACTTTGAAGCTTGCCCACCCCCCTCTCACAATGAGAGGCAGGCGAGCAACGCCCCACGACTGTGCCCTTTTTAACAACCCCACTCTCATCCTCCCTCAACAGGAGGGCCGCCCCACGACTGTGAAGCCCTAGTATTGCCCCTCGCTTATCCCTTTACCTTTACGGTCACGTGTAACCCCTCGACTAGATAGCAATACCTACTCGGCAAACCCCTCCCCTACTACCATTTGACAGGCTGCCCCACGACTGTGAAGCACGGTTGTCCCCTTGAAAGCTACCCACCTATTATGGGAGCGGCCGCGGGGGCGAACCTTCCAATACTAAAATTCGACACCTACTGCTACAAGAAGGGCCCCACGACTGTGGGGCACCACTAACCCGGACTGCGCCGTGGCCGCCTCTCTGGTGGGCGATGGCCTGCCCCACGACTGTGAAACCCCCTAAAGCGCCAGCCCAGGCCCCAGGGCCGCCCCACGACTGTGAAGCCTCAGGGCCGCCCCAAGACTAATATGAACAATGCAAGGCGAACCTTGTTGTCCCGGCTCGCCGGGCTCCTTCATCTTCCCCCCCCACGTCCACTAAGTAGTCCTGTCGGCTCCTCACTAGCAGATTCCAAGTCTATGAAGGGTGCTGCGTTAAATTGGGGTGCCAAGGAGGCCACGCTCCCAGCCCCTTAGTCCGAGGGGTCTGGGCCCTTCTGCCCCCTACAAGTGTGAACCCTACATGATGCATACGGTCTCCGTTGCTTCTCTACCCCCCTGGCGTGGCTGGGGACTGGCATTCGCCCCAGCCCACGCTCTGATTCTAGCCCTTCCCTAACCCCCTCAGGCGGTTACTCCTTGTGCTGGGAGGGCACTTGAACGTGCCTCTTGCCACTGTCGCCCCGCTGTTCACTCCCCTGGGGGCTCTGCTGGGGTGCTCGTCGGGCGTGGGGAATCCACGCCCTTAGTGGCGCCCCGTACGTCCCCAGCCGACTCCCCCAGAGGAGTATGGAACAGCATTGGCACGGGGAGGACGAGGACGAGGAGGAGGAGGAGGAGGAGGAGGAGGGTCAAGGCTCACGGGGGGGGCAGTGCACAGTCGCACCGAGAGCTTGGTATCGCGGGCCTATCAGACGCCGGAGAGGTAGAAGAATTGTGGTACAGGGACCGAGGTATAACATCGAGGTCGTTTCTGGGAGGGTGCCCTCATGTTCTTCGTGCTTGTCGGATGTCCTGGCGCAACCTGGGGATGGTACCCATGGATGGGCTGTGTGTTCTTCTGCCCTAGGTCCGGCTGTAGATACTTAAGTGGACGAAAACAGCGGCGAGCAATATCACCCCCCCGTCTACGGCTTTCAACCCCAAATGCAGAGTCCGACTCCTGGGGGGCCCGGCGGCCCCGGCCCCCCCCCCCCGCGCTGCCCTCGTGGGGCCGGTCCCGCCGAACCGTCATGGCGCGCTCGCCTCGCCTCGCCTCTCCTCCCCCTCCCCCTGGGAGAGCGTTTTTTATATTCCTGGGCGATGGATGGCCTCACCGGGGGATGGGGGGGGGTGGGCGGGGGGCAGGGGGCCGGTCACGTCACGTGTTGCGCGGGCGCTGTCTGGGAGTGCCCAGGAAAAGCCAAAGCCAGTTCGGAGGTCAGCACGGACCGCGACGACACCCAGCAGGGGGGGGACTGGGGGGCGGCCAGGGCCGGTCACGGCCGCTCTCGCGAAAAATATCCAAACGCGCTATGACTCCGGGTCCGCCGTACTCTGGTCTGGTCGATCTCGCAAGCAGGGCTGGAATCTCCGCCCTGCTTCTCGATCTCCTTGGGCGTCCATTCCTGCCCTTCTTGAATGGATTTCGCACCATCCAGGGTGAATTTGCGACGCAATGTTTTATTTTTCGGCCACGCGCAGTGGTGGGGTGGGGTAACGACTTCTTAGAAGCACCCTGCTTCTTAGTAGGGCCGGCGCCTATCAAGGAGCAGCCTCCTTCGAAGAAACTTCCATAGTAAGGATGGGCCACCTTCCCAAGGGTACCCCTGCATCCTTCCCTCCTCGGCCCATCCTTGGCCCTTCGCGTTGGCCGCGCCCCGCTCGAAAAGCTTCGAAATGGGCGCCCAAGGGACTTGCATCCTCATTGTGCGTCCTCGTGAGATGGGTCGGCTGTGCCCCCTTGCGCGCGCCGACTGTGATCCCAGGGTCCGATGCCCACGGGCCCTGGGAGGCCGACGTGAAGGACAAGCGCCAGGATTGAAGAAGAGAGCGCGTTTTGAGCTCGGTCCTCCCTCTCCCCCTCCTCGTGCTCCTCCTCCTCCAATTCCTTCTCCCCATAGGTAACTTCTCCCTGTCGCACCCCGAGGCCAGTTTTTAGGGCGGGCCGGGCGTTTTGCTTGAGAGTTCATGACCATCGATGCCTCTGAATCTTAAAAAGTGGCAAGAGTTTCGCAGATGGAGGGCGGGTCGCTTTCAAAACGTGGCTCTCGCCCTAGCGCCGCGCAAATTCGTTTTCAGCATTTGCAAGAGCTTCGCGGATTGAGGGCGGGTCGTTTTTAATATGTGGTTCTCGCCTGAGCGCCGCGCACATTCGTTTTTAAAATGTGCAAGAGTTTCACGAATTGAAGGCGGGTCTTTTTCAAAGTGTGGTTCTCGCCTTAGCGCCGCGCACACTCGTTTTAAACATTGTGAGGGTTTCACGGATTGAGGGCGGTACCTTTTCAACATGTAGTTCTCGTCTTAGCGCCGCGCACACTCTTTTTTAGATTTTGCAAGAGCTTCACGGATTGAGGGCATGTCGTTTTCGAAATGTGGCTTTTGCTTTCGCATCGCGCACATTCGGTTTTTGAAATTGCAAGAGCTTCACAGACTGAGGGCGGTTCCTTTTCAAAATGTGGCTCTCGCTGTAGCGCCGCGCACATTCGTTTTACACATTCGCAAGAGTTTCACGAATTCCCATGATCAACGTACCAGAAATGGTGTTCCAACATCGTTGATGACTCTTGGGTTTACACTGGTGCTCCTCCTCCTGCTCCTCCTCCTCCTCCTCGTCCTCCTCCGTAGCCATTTTGGTTCAAGGCTAATGCTTCTGCGGGCGGAGCCCGCATCGGCGAAACTGGATACCGCTAGTCCGCGGCATACCCTGTCTGTTTCGCAGAGCCTGGTCCGCCCCAGGACTCTGCGTGCCGCCTGCAGCCCGCAGGTGAGCACTCCTGTTTCACAGCGACCCGCGGCATGGGAGATGATGGCAAAGCAGCGGGGTATATTGGGTGCAAAGCGTGCGGCTACAAGTGGAACTGGAGCAGCAAAGTCGAGTGCTTCAAGTGCAAGGCGAAGCTCCGCCCCGCCGTCGGCGTCCCACCGCCACCGTCTGGAGTTTGGGCACCGAATGGACCTCATTCTGCGGGTTGGCCACGCTCGGGACGGCAGTGGAAGAAGTGGGCACCTTGGCGGCACTCCACGTACGCAAGCACCAAGGCTGGCTGGGACACCGTGGAGGCGCAGAAGGGCGATGGCGGGCAGTCCGACCCGATCTCCACGGTCTCCCTCATCACGAGTTTGGCTGCGTACCAGGGCGTCGGCGAGAAGGGCGACCCCACCATCACGGCCGCCTTGGACATGTTGCGTCGCAAAGCCCAAGAGGAGGAGGCCAACGCCAAACCCGCGCCAGCCCCACCCAAGCAGCGTACGGGCGCCCAGCTGCTGGCCGACGCCAATCGCGCGCTCAAGGAGCTGGACAATCGCATTGAGAAGCAGCGGACGAAGCTCACGGGCGCGCAGTTGTATTTGGACGACCAGCTCGAGAAGATGGACAAGTTGGCCCAGCAGAGGGTCGAGGTGCAGCAGCGGCATCTCACAGCACTCCAGCAGGCCAACCAGGAGTCGGGCATCATCGTGGTCAAACCCGATGAGAAGACCCTCAATGTCAAGTTCGAGTACGACGGCTCACTCTTCGAGGGCCTCGAGGAGTGCGACATACCGACCGAGGAGATGGACAGCATCATGCAGTGGAAGAGCGAGCTGGAGCAGTTCCAGAAGGAGCAGCTGGGCACCCTGCAGGCGAAGTTCAAGTACATCGAGGAGATCCACCAGAAGGCAAAGAAGGCAATGCAGGCCCCCAAAAAGAAGCGTAAGGTCGAAGCAGGAACAGAAGGACCCAAGGCAGAGGCAGTGGAAGAGGAACCCCCTGCGTCTGAGGCACCTACCACAGCATCGCCAGCGACCGCAAGCAACGGCACAGGTGCGACAGCCATCAACCCCGAGGACGAGAAGAAGAAGATCAGGGACGCCAATCAAGCAGTCTTGGAGCAGGCTCGGGCTGAGAGGCGCAAGGCTCGCGAAGCTCATGTGCAAGCTGACGGTCTGGCTGATGGTGCTGGGCAGTCTGGGCTTTAGCGAGGCGAACTCCACCCAGCAGCAGAGCGAGGAGTTCCAGGTCCTGTTCGGCAACATCACGGAGTGGGGCCCACAGGTGCAGAACTACGTGCATGGCCCAGCAGTGCAGCAGTTCGATTGTCTGGCGTTTGTGGAAACGCACAAGGGGCCAAACCAAGTCTCAGCCATGAAGACGTTCCTGCAGAAAGAAGGATGGAAGGCGACAATTACCCCCGCGGTCCCCAGTGGCAAGTCGAAGAATGGATGGTCCGCGGGTGAACTCATCGCCACGCGCACACACATACAGTCCACGTCCTTGGAGCACTGGAAGGGCAAGCACGACAAGCAAGGGGACTCGGCCTTCGTCGGTTTCTCCCCCATGGTGCTGCACCTCAGCATCGGCAATTTCATCATCATCGCGGCCTACCTACTACCGACCCTGCGTTTTACGGGCAGGAACCGAAAGGTCATGGCAGCCCTCACTGCCTTTGTGCGCTTGTTGAAGGACCCATGGCTCGTCGTGGCGGATTGGAACTGCGTCCCTACTGAGCTGCTCGCATCTGGTTGGTTAGAACAGATGCGAGGCGAGATCGTCACGGGCCCAGAGGAGGTCACATGCGACAAAGGCAAGGGCTCCCTCTACGACTACGGCGTCGTCGCCGCGGGCTGCAAGGAAGGGCTTACCATTGCCAAAGAGCTGACGGTACCATGGGCGACGCATTGTGGGCTTCGCATCAGGCTGCCTGGCAAGAAGCAGCGATGGTGGCACCGCACGCTGGACATTCCCAAGGCGTTGCCCACGGTGCCGAGGCCGAAGAAGCAGAAGGACCTGGACAGCAAACGGAGTAAGCAGCAGGCACGACGCCAACAGGGACGCGAAGAGCTGGAACCTGTACTTCGGCATGGTTTCGACTTCCTCGAGCAGGATCCAGGCACAACGACTACGAACACATCCCCGACAACACAGACTCCGAGTGCGGACTCACCGTCCATCGACTTCCACATCAGTTGCGTTACGTGGGAAGATGCCAGATGGGGATTCTCTGGCACCCCACCAGATATTCAACTCAGAAGGGACCGTTGGTGGCCACAGGCCTATCGTGATCGGCCACTGCTGGCACAGAAGATGGCGAACAGCTACGGCAGGTGGATCGAGGCCGTGGAGGAGGCAGTTTTGCAGCACTCAGAGGTACCCCAACACCAACGGGACGGCTATAGAGGAAGGGCGCAGGGTTTCGGCATCAAGTGGAAAAAGAGCACAGCAGCGCCAGGCAGACCACATCTGTACAACTCAGAGGCAGAGTGGTGGGCCATCACGCACACGCAGGTGATCGCGATCAACGGCCTGGTGAAGAACAACAAAGACCCACAACAGCTGCAACAACGAGGCCAAGAGTTTCGACAGCGGATACAGCAGGTACATGTGGTCAGCAAGCACAGCGATATCGAGCTGCTCAACCAGTGGCAGCAGAGCGCACACGACATCTTCAGCCCAGCACGTCAGGAGAGAGAGGACGTGATAGAGATCACCGAGAGATTGGCTGGACAAGCAGCGCGGAGAGCTCTGGCAGATGGCACAAAGGGCTTCATCAGGTGGGCGCAAGATATGTGGAAGAAGACCCCTGGAGCCCTGCACAGATGGACGAAGGACGCGCAGCAGCCGCGGCTCGAGGAGATGATCTCAGGCAAGATCGTGGCCGATCCCATCCTCATCATGAACCACAAGAGCGAGAGTTGGGCCAAGAAGTGGACGGCCGCCCCGCATAGACAGGCAGCACTTGCAGGCGCTCTTCGACGATGCCGTCTCTCGGCGGCCCAAGAGGACCTCCCGCAGCTCACGATCCAGGACCTCAGCGCAGCCACCCGCCGTATGGGGGTCAAGAAGGCACGAGGTATCGATGCGATAGGTCCCTTGGACATCGAGAGGCTCCCAGACCAGGCCAAGTACGATTTTTTGGATATCATCGCGCAAGCCGAAGAGCATCTGATGTGGCCCCCACAAGTCCTAGGCACCATCGGCGCGATCGCGGGCAAACCAGCAGGAGGAGATCGAGTCTTGGGGCTTTTACCTATGACGATTCGTATATGGTCACGTATGCGGTCAGGAGTGGTCGAGTCGTGGACGCAGCAGTTGGAGGACCACTGGGATACGGCGTTGCGTGGATCCTCGGCGCTACGAGCGGCGTTGCTGCGAGCTGCCCTCGACGAGACGGGCCACTCCATGGGCATTGCACATGCGGAGTTGTTCGCGGATATGGAGCAGTTCTACGATTCGTTAGACTTGGGATGGCTCATTGACACCGGGATCGAGCTGGATTTCTCACCGACAATTATGGCTATGGAGGTAGAAGCGTTCCTGGGCCCACGGCACCTCAAGCACGCGGAGTGGATCGGACCCAGGATCGACCCGTCATGTTCGATCGTGGCGGGCTCAGCCCAAGGGACTAGATTCGCCAAGGTGTACCTGTTCCCTCTCTTGGACGCAGCCCAGAAGCGAGTCCAGGCAGCGGGGCTATGGACATACGTGGACGACACGGTTGGAAGGGTCGAAGGTACCGAGGAGACGGTGGAGCAGCAGATGGTGGAGTTGGTCGATGAGTTCATCATCCAGGCTGAGAAGCGCAGCCTCATCATCTCGCCCAAGACGGTGCTCGTTGCATCCAATCCCAAGCTCCGAAGACGAATATGGCGCAGACTACAACGGCGAGGACTCCCAGGTAAGCAACAAAGCGACATGGTGGACTTGGGCACCGACGTCAGTGGCATGGGCAAGCGCACACAGAAGAAGGCTCGGGCACGCCAGCGAAAGGCCAAGCAGCGAGCGGGCAAGATTTTCAGGTTGCGAAGGATGGCGACGCGTGTGGCAAGGATTACCAAGGGCCTCTTCACCACAGGCGTCTCCCCCCAGGAGACTTATGGGCACGAGGTCTGGGGAATCGCACCTAGCCGAATATTACAGTTACGACGTATGGCCATGAAGTCGGCGGCTGGCACAGGACCAGGAAGGTGCTTATCCACTGGCATGGCTGTGCTGTATCACTTGAAGGACCCAGGCATCAGCCTGCGACGGCAACTTGTCAGCGAATGGCTACACCAATGGCTTCTTCACCTAGAAATTCATCGACGAGTACGACAAGCATGGGGACCGACTTACCGTAAGTTGATCAGGGCAGGCACGCAGCTGTGGCGCAAGGTACACGGCCCAGTGGCAGCGGTGCAGGCTACTCTAATGGCGGCAGGGTGGAAGCCAATACAGGCGGCACTATGGAAGCGACCGGCACCGCAAGGTGACGAACAATGGCAGCTCCCCTTCATAGACGACGATGGCAAGTGCGACATTGATGCTATTGAGTACACACAGCTGCTGGAGGATCTGGAGCACGACCTGGAAATGGAGAGGTGGGCTCAAGCAGCTACGCATTTGCACGGGGACGATTTGCAACGAGGAGGAGACATATGGCACATAAGTAAGGAGCAACAAAGATACAGCCAGCGGGCTGAATGGCAAGATTGGGCACTCAATAACGTGGTGGTTACGGGTGGGCAATGGACTCGGCAACGACAGATTCAGGCTGGCTACGAGTGCGACACGAACATCTGCGAGAGGTGCAAGCAAGAGCCCGAGACCATCTTCCACCGCATCTACACCTGTACCGCCAACACAGGACACGAGAACTATGAGAAGACGGACTACTTGGTGCCAAAGGCGCTCGCGGGCGTCGAGGCAAACCCGACCTTATGGCTCCGAGGTATACCGCCCAGAGAGCTCACTCACCCAGTGGTCAACGACACCGACAGGCAGGACTACGTCAGGTTCGGCGACCACGAAGCAGCTCGAGTGCCAGGACGCAGCCTCTATCTATTTGGTGATGGCTCAGGCGGTTGCTACGGTGGCGACCCCCGCAGGAGACGGGTAGGCATCGGAGTGGCGACCATGAAGATGATCGACGGCAAGTGGAGTATGTCATCAGGCACGATGGCAGACCTACCAGGACGGCGTCAAACCGTACCGCGGGCAGAGATCACGGCCTTCGCGATTGCCATAGAGGAAACGAGAGGAGACATCGTGTACGTCACGGACCACTACCCGCTCCTCACAGCTTGGGCAAACGGCAGAGCTCAAGACCCTGGGCGAGGGAAGAACGCGGATTTATGGGCACGCATCAAGAGGGCGGTGATGGACACGTCCCCCAGACACATCGAAGTGGAGTGGACCCCGTCGCACCAGGACGAGGACGAGGTTGAGCTAGTCAACCCGATTTTTGCGATGGGCAACAGTTTTGCAGACGCACTAGCTACGGTTGCGGCAGAAGCTTCTTGGGAAAGAGTGTCCACGCCAATACCACGTACAGATGAATGGGATGCGATCTGTGCTCATGTACGATTACGAGCGAGGCAGGCCTTGGAGGACACGGCGAACATTGACCCCTGGTGCGCTGAGAGGCCCTCCACAGCCAAGGCCAAGGCCAAGAGGGACCGAGTAAAGGAAGTCGTCGACAAGATGAAGCAGCACGATATGGTCAGGCTCAAGAATAAGTGGTTTTGCACAGCCTGCAGACAGTACATCACAGCGGACGCCCTGCAGGAGTTTGCCACCACGGAATGCAACGCTACATACAGCACGGCCAACGAGATAGTCGAGGTAAAGGGCGACAGGTTCATGGGCAATGGCAAGATACATGGCAGCCACGTGGTCAGCGAATGGGTGCGGTACGGGCTGCTATTCTGCGCGCGGTGCGCAGCACATGGAACGAACATTGGGAAAAGGCTACGCGAGCAGTGCAGCGAGACGATCACCAAGTACGGGCAGGATGCGCTCAACAAGATTCGGGACGGACGCTACCCTGGCTACAGGAAAGAACCACCGCGAGCTGCACAAGAGGCTCAAATTGCTAGGCAGGTGCGTGAGCTACTTGACCAAGAGCGGCTAGCGCCGCATGAGTACAGCGGCCCTTTGGTTGGGAATGTGCCCCCTCCAGCACCGCACCCCGCACCCCGACCGAGACGGATGGCGAGAAAGACACCAGTGGCAAGTATTCGACCAGCAGCGGTACATCCAACAGATTGCGAGTGCGAGCCCCTGCCTGAGCCGAGGTCACAGGAGTTAGAGGATTACGACGACCCCGAGGTGCAGAGGGACATCGACGACTTCTTCAGCGAAGCGCCCCTGCGCGGGGAGGAGTCAAACCGAGGCGTATCCCAGCGTGGCGAGGGGTTAGGCCACTTCACACCCCAGCACGGTGAGGGGTTAGACCGTACAGATCGTCGCCATGCAGCTGGATCGGAATCTGCCCCCCACGGCACGCACTGGAAGCACGCAGCCCCTTTGGCCACGAGTGCTGAAAGTACCGACCGTGGGGGGAGTCAGAACGTAGTGGTCAGGCATAACCACGACGACGATTGCAGGATGGACGACAGCAATGGAGTATTGGATCAGAATCCAGGCGCGATGGGACTACCGCCGATCGTTGAGGACACGGGACCACAAGATTATGCCGACATGCGTGCTGATCTTAGAGAATGGGCAACACTGTGGTACGACGATCTTACGTGCTTGGCCAGAGACAGCGACAGCTGGCAGGAGTGGTGCGTAGCGATGCTCACACAGATGCTTACCGACGAGAACAATCACCCCCTGTGCCGCACATTGAGGCGCTGGTTCCCAGGGCAGACGATGCAGCAGATCATCGTGCAGCAGTGCGGGAGTGCGTGGAGACAAACAACGGCGAGAAGGGATGAGTTCTACGAACGACTCCACGCGCCAGAGACAGAACCCGAAGAATATCGTAGATTGGCCCATCGGCATCGGCGTGAACTGGCACGGCTACGAGACATGTTCCGCAGGGCGTTAGGAGATCGGGCGCCAGACGGGCAAAGGCCGCCACCCCCACGACGGCCTGAATCAGATGACGATCATCAAGCAGGAGACCCCGTGGAAGCTGGCCTCAGTCGCGGCAGCTGGTGCTGCAGGCTTGAGCGGGCGACTGCTGGGAGTACGGATGCCACGTCACTTGCAAGAAGGACGTGCGGAGCCCCCACGGCGACAAGCGCATCGGAGGCAGCGTCAAGCCCAGCGGGTGGGGGACCCCGGCGTGGCGAGGGGTTAGGCCACGACGCTCCCCAGCGCGGCGAGGGGTTAGGCCGATGGGAACATACGCTGGCGTGCTCGAACAGGTTAGCCAGGGCCGCGGCAGGCGACTACATCGAGCTCGAGCTCTACGAGGAGAACGACGACACTGCGCCCCAGCACGGCGAGGGGTTAGGCCGTATCGACGGTGAAGGAACCTTTCGAGGCGAAGGAGAACAAAGGGGCGAAGAGCGGCGTCATGATGGACAGGAGATAGCGGGAGCACGGCCCCATGAGCACCTCGACCCGATCTCCATGAGCCAGGGACAGCCCGACGACCGCTACGAGTGGAGCAAAGCACCCCAGCGCGGTGAGGGGTTAGACCGCGTGAACGACAGGGAGAAATACGGAAAGCAGTACATCGCCCCCCAGCGCGGTGAGGGGTTAGACCGCAGCCGACCCTCGCAGGGCGAGACTGCGAGGGCAGGCGATCCCCAGCACGGTGAGGGGTTAGACCGTACGCACCCCCTGCGTGGCGAGGGGTTAGGCCACCAACCCCAGCGCGGTGAGGGGTTAGACCGCGTTTTACCCCCGCGTGGTGAGGGGTTAGGCCACAATGTTCCCCTGCGTGGGGTTAGGCCACGATGATCCCCAGCGCGGCGAGGGGTTAGGCCGATGGGAACATGCACTGGCGTGCTCGAGCAGGTTAGCCAGGGC